CTCATTTAAAATGAAGTCAGGAGTCCAGAAAAGGGAGCTGTCAGATCCTACTAACTTGTCCTCAATTGCAGACCCCAACAGGAAGAAGTGTACCTTGCATTTTTTAATAGGAAGAAGCCTACTTTACTACCATGGAAGGAGGAAGGCAGATTTTCGCCTTGCCCAGCAATGGCCCAGCCAATGAGAAACCATCACAATTCAGCTAATGAGAAACTCACCACCTGAACTCTGACTTTCCTCCAATGGGCTTTCATTCAAAGCTGTCCCAACTTACTCCTTTTTCTCTATAAAGTAACCTTCTTCTTTGATCTCTGGGTTTGCCTCTGATCTTGCCATAGCTTGCTTGTCCTGAATTGCAATTCGTCTGCCATTCCCAGATAAACCCAATTTGCTGGTAAAATAGCTGGCTGTTGTATTTTTTTTTTTTACTGATTTTTTTTATTTTTTTATTTTATTTATTTATTTATTTTTTTATTTTGGCTGTTGTATTTTAAAGACTGACAGCACAAAGATGAAAATAAAACATGATGGTTCTATTTAGCCACTGAAAGAAGCATTCAGTAATAATTAAATTTTAGGTGAAAAGGAGCTGGGGTTAATAATAATAGAAATAATTTAGAGATATCCTTGACATTTTCAGGTATATCCTTCCAGCTTATAAACACACACGCACCCCTACTCCTTCCATATATATACACACACATACACATTTGTTTGACCAATAAATACTAACAGAAGAAAATCTATAATATATATAACTCAGTGGTGTTTTAATAAGAAAAGGCTCCTAAATTCATATTGAGTTATTACAACTGTAAAAAAATTACTGCAGAAGCATTCATTATAAAGGCAATGAATCCACTCCAAGTTACACCATAAAAATAAAATCATTTAGCAAACTCAAATTGCTACTAAAATCCTGAATTTAAAAAAGAAAAAAAAAGGGCCCATAGTTTTGGGATTCCCCTCCTAATTCTGACAGATTCTACTCTTTCGAGACTCCTGCATGATGCAAAGTTAGTTGGATGTCTTTAAGATCTGAAAACCATTAGAACTAATTAAGATGAAGTTGGCTTTGTTCTTCAACTTCCTGTAAAAATGCTCAACAGGAAAATTGATGCTCACAGCAAACCACAGCCATCCTGTTTCTTCAGCACAACCTTTTCACAGCTGCACTTGCCTGTAGTTTCTATTTTATGATACAAGTCACAGTGCGACATCTCTGTGCCCCACCCCCCACCCCACCCCCAGCCTGTCACATTTGGCCATCTTAGAAATTCTTAATACCTCTGCATGAAGACTGCTTCTATTACTGCTACTCTTCCTCTTCTCAGGCCCAGGCTCAGAGGGCTGCAGGCAAGGAGGCAATCAGCAAGAAGAGGAAAAACAGAAGAATGCTCTCACCCCAAGAGGAAGCAAAAGGTAGAGAAGAGAAACAAGCTTTCCTTTGTAAGCAAAGCAGCAACCTCACCCGGGTTAGTGGTCACTTAATTCTCAGCTGGGGCTGGAACGCACGTATTTTGTCCACGGAACCCCTCATTTCTCAAAATGTACTTGCTCTTTTCTTGAACGTCACTTAAGACAATAACTGAAGTGAGTCCTCGTCCTAGGCTGTCTTCTCAGTGGTAAGGATTTGTGTCTTGCTGTATTGACAGCGCCCGTGGTTATTTCAGAAATACCCCTTTTAGAGTTCTTTTCGATAAACAGTTGGTTAATTTGGGGCAGGGGGAGGGGGAAAGGCATTTTTCAGAGAAGACATGTTGAAACATCTGCAATGTCATTACAATGGGTAGCACGCACATACACAATTCTACTGTAAGAGTAACTGTTGGGAAATTAAAGGGTGTGAAGTAAAATGATTTTTTTAAATCCGCTCTCACGCATTTAATTTAAAAGTTAATGCAAATTTATAGGGGCACCTGGGGGCTCAGTTGAGCATCTGATGCTTGATTTCCGCTCAGGCCCTGATCTCAGCATTCTGAGACTAAGCCCCACGAGCCTCTCCAGCCCCTGGAGTTGGGCTCTGGACTCCAGCAGGGAGTCTCCAGGAGATCCTCTCCCTCTCCCTCTGCTCCTCCCCCTGCTCGCACGCTCTCTCTCTCTCAAATGAATAAAATCTTTATTAAAAGAAGTTAATGTAAATTGATACACATCCAAACCCTTTTAAAAGTGAGACAATGAAGGTAAGTTGAAGGCCCCCCCCACCTGTCATTGTTTAGCTGTGGTGAAAGGAAAGGAGCCCTTCCTTCTCTACCTTATCTATGGAACTAAAAAGTATAGCGTTTCCTCCCACTACTTCCCACCTCTTATAAGTATTCTCTTAAAGGGGATCAAACCTTAGAGCTAGAGTTTTCTTAAATCCTCAGCACCACTTTTCTTTTTAACAGAGGATTAAGATCTACCTCCGTGTCCACGCTCCCAGCATATATATTAATACACACGATATATATTTTATTCATTTTATCATTGAAAGTGTAGTCCTGTAATAGAACAAAAAGTGCCACCAAATTTACTTCTGAAAAGGCCAAAGGACTTAGGAAGGAAAATGTCTTCCGTGAGGTTATTTGCTTTAAAGATACTTAATGTTGCTGTGACATTTAAAACAAAGCATTTATAATCCCAGAGTCTTGGGACTGGAAGAAGACATCCAGTTGCCTCTCCACTGCATTTATGAAACAAGCTCTTGAAAATATAGAAAATTTCTTTATACTTAGTTGTTAAGTGGCCTTGGGCAAATTACATAGCCAAAGTCCAGTTCCCACAATAAAATGGGGATAATGGTACCTACTCAATAGGGTTATTCAAGAGTTAAATGAGGCAAATACTTAATAAGTATTAGCCATTTTTAAAAATAAGTAAAAGTAAGGATTCCAACATGTAGCAAGTCCTCAATAAATGTTATTGTCTTCCCTTGCTATTTAGTCATGAGGAAGAAACCATAGTTGATTTAAACCCTGGCCCACATGTTCACACCCATGCAAACCTCCATATTACAGATGAATGGAGAATGGAGATGCATATAAAGTGCACTTTAAAGCATACTAATTAAGGCATTCCTTATTCTAGTATTTTTTTTCCATTTTAATTTTCAGTAGTGAGGGTTGCAAAATACAGACAGAGGTATTTATGGTATTTCAAGGGAAATGCCCTCAACAAGACGTAAATGTACAGCAATTTGGATAAACAAAAGTGAGTCCAACTGTAAAGCAGAAATGTTCCACAATTTAAACAGCCAGAAACTTACAAAGTAAATGACATGTTCATGAAATGTGAATCAGACTTCAAAAAGGCAGAAAACTTGAAAGGTCTAGAAATTAGGGAGCTCACTTCCTCTTTTTTAGCACAGGTTGGGCAACTTCTAGCCCATGGGCCAGATCTAGAATCTAATTTCATCAGGGAGCAGGGTGGAAATTGCTGCTGGACTCCAGGAAATCATTTTTATCCTGGGGAGTTCTCTAAATATTGCAGTTAATCTAGCATCCATATAATCCTTAAAAGTTTAAATATTAGAGTAATTCAGGAGCTATGAACAATTAACTTGTGTCTGAACTTTTCAAAAGAATAGTGAAAACCTGACCGTGATTCTAGAAAAATCATTTAAACCTCTTTAGACTACAAAAGGAAGAGTTTTGACTAGATGAAGTTCCAGTTCAGAAGGAACACAACTTTATGAAGTTAATGGGTGATACATAAGACCCACAATTCCAATGATGAGGACGGACATGGCTTCCACACGGGCTGACCTTCCGCCTTTCCCAGCCTCTCACCTTCCTCTCTCGCTAGCCTGTCTTTTTTTTTTTTTTTTTTTAAAGATTTTATTTATTTATTTCACAGAGAGAGATCACAAGTAGGCAGAGAGGCAGGCAGAGAGAGAGAGGAAGGGAAGCAGGCTCCCCGCTGAGCAGAGAGCCCGATGCGGGGCTCGATCCCAGGACCCTGGGATCATGACCTGAGCTGAAGGCAGAGGCTTTAACCCACTGAGCCACCCAGGCGCCCCACACTATCCTGTCTTATTCTTTCTCTTGCCTTTTCGTTCAGCTGTCTTTCTTTCTACCAAGCTGTTTTTACTTTTGTTTCTCAGAATCTTCTTGAAGCCTTTTCTCCATTTTACCACTTCTCCATTTCCTAGTGTATATGCTACTTATACCATTGGATTATTTAAAAGAACTTACACTTATTGACTAAATTTGTATGTGCTCTGTTAATATTTTAAAGATGTATTATATATTTCTCCATGGGGAAAAAGGAATATGCCAAGGGACTTCTTCATGTACGCCCCAGAGGCAAAAAAAAATTTTTTTGATACAAACAACTTTCCTTAACCTAATCTGTAGGTCTCTGGGTACATTGCTTCAAAATTTTAAGTTACAATATTTTATGACAAAAAGTTAGTCATATTAGCTGTAAACACTTATAACAAATGCTACAGAATTTGATGAGCAAAGTAGCTATGCACTGCACTGTTAGGGGGTTGACTAGAAAGATTTTAAAGACAGACTGTCTTCTTCCTAAAATACTCTGCCTAGAAATGGTTTAATTTGGGATTTGAACTTAAGTGACATATGTGTAGCAACAGAAAGGCAACACCTTAGTTCCCCGGTACTTTCCTTTGAAGTTTCTGATGACTCCCTTTACTTTAAAAGCACTTACTGCTACTTGCCAAAGGGACAGTTCAAAAGCAGTGTGTGGATAACACACTGAAAGGCTGTACTTACAGACATAAACCCCCATTTTAAGTGGAAAAAAAAATTCCTGTGGATCCAAACTTGTCCAGTGGTCAGGAAAAATTCTACTGAAAATCTTGCTTACTTTTTGGTACAAAACACAAGTTATGAATTGCCCACGATCACCACAGTGTTGAAACTAGCATTCTCTGCAACACGGTCTTCTGCTGAAAAAAATCAAACTATCTCAACATACTCTGGTCCATTAAAAGTCATTTCGTTCTTCCCTCTAGCTGATAAAGGAAATACATTTAGTCTGAATAGAACTTTTCTTACCGTTAAAGGACACCGTAGGAAGGCATGATCGGGGACACAGAAGACAGACCAGCAAGATGTGAGCCCAGAGAGAAAACTGTCCCTGAAAAAGGCATCATCTTCCAACCCAAGTGTGGGGTCGGTTTTGGACAGCCATTTTGGACAAGCTCTGGCCTCTTGTTAAATGTGACATACTGAGTCAGAGGCAGACGTCTTTCTGTGGTTATTCGCTTCCTGTCTGATTAATTTGTTGTTTGTTCCTTCCTCCTTTACTGCAGAAAAAGAAACTAGATTGGCTTTACTTTAGAAGCAGGCAAGGAAAAACCCCTTAATTTAAAAAAATTAAATGTTACTCTTTTCCACAAGGTGTAATGTATCTGTTTGGTACAGTGACAAGAGGAAATCAGGATGTTCATCCAGTTGGCAGGCCAAAGTTATTCTAGATACCTGTGCAGAAATAATAGTTCACAGAGCCTGAGATTCCTTCCAGGAAAATGCTGCTTGAAAGTTATCACTCTTGATATTGACTATGTTAACTGACTAATACTATTGACTATAATATTTAGTATTAAGGAAAAGAGTTACCAAGGGCTAAAAGCTCTCAGCTACACCAATAAATAGGGTAATGATTCTTCCTCCTCTATAGAGCATTCAAGTATGTAGAGAGAAAGTCACAGATGCAGGTGAAGAGAGTCAGTCAAGTGTATGAAGGCAAATGAGTTTTGAGATGTGATTTTGGTGCCCAAGTCAGGATAAATGATACACAGCTCAAGTCATACGAAGATCCAGTTTTCTGTGCCAGAATGTTTTGTTTCTGTCCTCCATACTTAACAGGATAACAATAACTCTCCTAGAAGATGCTTGACAAAAACACAGAGATATGAGTGCAGAACGGGGAAAGGCAGATTTCTAATTATTAAAGGACTCTAAGAAGGGAAGAGGCAATGGACTACATGTACAAAACCTTGAGTTATGTACAAATATTCTGAAAACACTCATCATTTTTTCTTGAGCCATCTGAAAGATTCAGATTTGCAACACATAACATGTAACTCAGAAGAAAAACTAAGGACAAAAAACTATCAGCCAAAAGAATGAAAAACAGAGGCACATTTCAGAAACTAACTTGACTCTAAAATTAGAACTCTGGGTCCTGGCTGTGCGGGATTCAGAAGGAAAAGGAACGGAGAGCCCACACATCGTCTCATATTCCCTTCCCTGTAAAATGACAGGACTGGGTGGACCAGGGGTTCTCAATTCGGGCAGCGGCTGGGAATGTGTGGACTCATCTGTAGTTGGCGGTTAGAAGTGGTGGGTTGGATGGGGGACTCTTTAAGGGTGGAGCCAGGAATGTGGAATTTCCCATGATGCTTTGGATAGTCTTGCCCAAAATACTGACGGTACTCCTACTGAGGAGTACTGAGATAGTTGATGTCTACGACTCTTCCAGGCTCTAAATTCTTTGAGTTATGAATCTAACTGAATGAGTAGAGTTTTATGATGTGGGGCCACGGCAAAATTCCTGGAAGCAGAGCACTGAAGGATTAGAAATGGAGAGTCCTGCCATCTGACATGCAGGTGGGGGGCACTGGATAGAAGTGGAGGCCTGCTGCTAGCATCTCCCTCCCCCTCCACTAACCCCAGGGAAATAGGAAACTTGATCAACTACCAAGTGAATGCCCAAAGTGAACCTTTGAGAAGTCTAACTCTAGTTAGTTCTAAGAAGGGAACATGGGCAATAGGATGATTTCTCTCTGTATTTCCAGAGTTGTTTTGAAGTTCTCTGAGTAAGGCCCGGCAAATACATGCACACACACACAAAAACACCTCACCATGCCGTACACGTGCAGTTCACGTCGGCCCCCTCCATTAGGAATGGCTCAGTTAGGAGGGAGAATCACTTAGAAGGCTGTAGCCCCCAAGACACACAAGGGAGAAGTGGTCTAGAGTTTGGTTCTATTTTTGTCTTTGATGAGAACGTATAAATACAGCCAACTTTGGACACGTTTATGAGGTGTTTACTAGCCACCATAGAACATAAATCAGGTAACATTCCTCCCCTGCTTAAAACCCTCCAGTGGTTTCTCGTTCCACTTAAAAAGTCCAAACTCTGCCAGAAGCCCCTAAGAACCCACGATATCTGGCCCCGCCCTAGCCCTCTGACTTCATCTCAAGTAACATCCCTTCTTGCTAATTTACCTTCCAGCCCTTTCTGTTCTTTAAATGCATCCAGTTCATTTGCATCTCGGGGCCTTACACTTGTAAGCCCTTCCCCCCAGTACACTCATTTCCTAGTTCCTTCTCATTCTTCAGTCGTCAGCAAAAAGGCCCCTCTTCGTGCCCCATCTCTGTGCCTGTTCTCTTATATGCACAGCACGTGTCACCACTCAACAATCTTATCACAAGTTTAATGGTTTGTATACTGTGTGTCCCTGCTAGAATTCAAGCTCCATGAGGATGGGGACCTGCTTTCCTACTGTTGTTTCAGCATCTAGAACTGCCTCTGACACTCAATAGGTGCTCAATTAATATGTTGAAAGAAAAAGGAAATTATAACTCCTAAAAATTCTTCCATAACGTAACATTCCCTTCAGACCTTAAGACTGGAGGCACCTGGGTGGCTCAGTTGGTTAAGCATCTGCCTTCGGCTCAGGTCATGATCCCAGAGTCCTGGGATGGAGCTCCCGAATCAGGCTCCCTGCTCAGCAAGGAGCATGCTTCTCCCTCTCCCCTGCTTGTGTTCCCTCTCTGGCTGTCTCTCTCTGTGTCAAATAAATAAATAAAATATAAGGGGAAAAAAACACAAAACCCTAAAGACTATTTCCTCTAGGGGTGCCTAGGTGGCTCAGTCAGTTAAGCTTCTGATTCTTGGTTTTGGCTTAGGTCCTGATCCCAGGGTCATGGGATCATGCCGGGAGTCTGCTTGAGATTCTCTTTCTCCGCTCCTGACCCTCCCTAGCTTATGTGCCCCCCCAACAAATAAATAAACTCTTAAAAAAAAAAAGATTGTTTCCTTTCAAAAAGTAAATAAGGAATGCCAAGGCTAAACTTGAACCCTCCTCTAGGGAAAGTTTAAGTTAAAGGGAACTTTTCCACAGAAAGGATGGCACAGATCAGCAGTGAAGCCGATAGCCCATAAGGGACTTGGCAGACCAATCTGAGCTTAATGGTAGAGTAAAACAATAATCAGTAAGCTCTTGGACCAAACAGGGAAAAAATCTTCCATATTAATGTACAGAAATACAAAACCAAGAGCAGACAGAAGATTATAAAACAGCACAGTTCTCACCAGTCTGGATAAAGTGGTAAAAGATCACAGCCTACAACCCTCCTGTGGTAACCCCAACAATGTAGACTGAATCAACAATGTATAAAATATGAAAAGATTTATTCGTTTATAATTCCGGTTTTCCAAGTTGTGTCCACAACTACCTTTAAGAGCCTGGTTTTTGCCCTGGTATTAGAAAGATATTTTAGAATAGGGTTTCCGCAGTTCTAACACACCTTCCTCAGTAGCAAAAATGTCTCCCTTATAGCTTTTTAGGGGGAAAGAGAAACCATGCCAGAGGAAATATATGCATTTACTATATGAGGAAATCTACTTTCAAAATGTTAAAATATGGGAATTATGTGATTTGGAGGAGCAGAAACAAAGTAATTTCCCTCTTCCCCCCAAAATAATCGGTACAGTTACACAGAGGTTTGGTCATTTAAAAATAATCTCAGAAAGGGGTGTCTGGGTGGCTCAGTCAGTTTGGCAGCGGACTCTTGATTTTGGCTCAGGTTGTGGTCTTGGGGTTGTGGGATTGAGCCCTGTGTCCAGCTACGTGCTGGGTGGGGAGTCTGCTTGGAATTCTCTCTCTCCCTCTGCCCCTTTGCTTGCACGCTCCCTCTCTCTTTCTCTCTCTCTTCATCAATCATCATCACCATCATCATCATCTCAGCAACACAGAGAAATTGAAAACAAATTTGTACTATTCAATGTCCTGTTAGTACAAGTTGGTATAATCTTACTTGGGGAAAAACTGGCAATTTATTTCCATTTTATTTTGGCAGCTCAGCATTAATTCGGCCTACTTATAGGAGAAGAAGGCATCATCTTCCAACCCAAGTGTGGGGTCATTTTTGGACAGCCATTTTGGACAAGCTCTGGCCTCTTGTTAAATGTGACATACTGAGTCAGAGGCAGACGTCTTTCTGTGGTTATTTGCAGTTTGGAGACCCATTTCTCCCTCATTCTCAGACCTATGGGTCCAGAGGCTCTTGTTCCACTGCCAGTACAGAAAGAGCGTGTGATTCAGGGCCGGTTAATCAGAGCCTTGCATTCATGGGGTCCCACAGACTTTTTGAGCGATGGCCTGTGAACTCATTAGAACCAAGGGAACTTGTGGCCTGAGGCAAGGACATTTCTGCCAGATGGGCTGGCATGGGATCTGTGAGGATATGGGCACTGAAATGGCCACACTCATCCTTCGACCACATGGGGTCTGAAACTGAAACCAACAAAGTAGGGAATTGGTGGGGAGGGTTGGTGATGGAGAAAAACCAGCTACAGGCCTCATTGGCTGAATCCGTCTATACCTGAGGCTAGCCCTATTTCTGGACTTTTAATTAACATTAACACACAAATTCTCTATTTTGTTGGAGCTGGTATAATCAGGTTTTCTATCATTGGCAGTACAAACACCCTCGTGACATAGAGGTTGGTACCAGAAGTGAGTGTTGAATGTGACTAACCCTAAAATGTGCAAGTGACTGATTTAAGTCAAGTGAAGTCAAGTGAAGGCTAGTGCAGGCTCTCCTGGGCTAGGGCACTGGCAACCTTGTTATGCGGTGCCCACACTGATGCTTATGCTACCACCTACTGAATCCTTGGCCTCTTAAGCCCAGGAGCCTATGGATGGTGCACCATTAAAGGATTTGGAAGGAACATTTAGAATGTTGGCATGTGTTGGCCAGTTCTCGTGGCTTTCAGTAAGAACTACAGAAAAGAGATAATTTAGACTGAAAGTGACTGGAAGCACACAGAGAGAAAAAAATACAGCTTTCTATTAGAGGTCTTTTTTGCCTGTGATCTGCAACCAAGATGCTGAGAGTCAAATAATCTGGAAACCTGTGGTTTAGAAAAGTCAAAATTTCTATGCTACGCTAACATCAGATAAAGTGGGGTCAAAAGCACAAGAACCACATCAGGAAATAATGTTTGGAATACAGGAGAAGCCTGATACCCCATTGTCCCTTCAAAGACCCATCCAGTGGGTTATAAGATATGCTAGAGACTGGTGACTGATATCTCATTCTCTTCTAGGAATGGGAGTTTAATCACAAAATTTCT